TAGTACACAGGAAAAGTATGTACTATGAAAATTAGAAGGCAAATATAAGCAATTTGATTGGACGAGAAGTCGTAAGTATGTGCTAAGTTTATTTCGAGTCCAACCATAGGAGTCATGTTTGGTCCCTTGGGGTTTCATATTTTAAACCCTACGAACACGTGCTAATTGGACTCGTTTTATTCATCAATCAAAATGCCTTTTAGAATAAATCATTTTATGAGAACAGTTTCTATTGATTAGATCTCTCTTATCTAATTTACATTTTTACATAATTTGAGTTTACTATTTTAAAGCACGACTATTAGGGGAAATCCGATTAATTGGTTAGATAGAATTCTGGGTGAACAATAGAAAAGAATCAGATAAATTTGCTAAAGGAAATACTTCTAAGAGCTCGTCTAAGAGTTTAAGCTGTCAAACCTTATTTATAATCGAAGTGTCAAGTTTAATCAAAATAGGAAGAATTTCACATCAAGTCTAGGTTAGTCTATGGAAAGGTATATACTATGAAATTTAGAGCGAGGGGCTTGCCCCGAGCTCTTAATTTCATAGTATATACCTTTTCATAGACTATCCAATTTAGCACATATTTACAACTCGAGTAATCTTGTAATTGGTCTATTGATAGTTTATTTTGGCTGACTACTTGTATCACAGGTGTTTGTAAAAAGGAGCTCATTAACGAAGTTTTGTAAATCTACTCACTAGTATTATTGTAAAATATGTGATTTCAAAAGGCCCTTCACTCCAGAATGAAAAGATGGTAGCTGCTGGTGTAAGTATGTATATTGATATAAAGCGGTGTTTTACTATTTATAATACATGTTCTTCTTACATGGCAAGATGACAAAATAAATTGACCAAAAGCAGGCAGTAATTAAATTGCAGTGGAAGCTTTTAAATTACATGTTTTGATAACATTTTTTTAATTTAACAGTAAAACTAAAGCTATAATAAATTTGAAACATAGAGATAGTTTGTCCCCATAGATATAGTCTAGCAGATAGGCATTAAAAAGCAACTACCAATAGATCAGAGATTATAGGTTTTGTGTTTTGTGTTGTTTTTTTTTTTTATTATTATTTCAAAGTAAAAACTAAAAGATTTATCAGAATATTTATATATATATATATATATATATAGGTGGTACATTATCTTCAGACATAATCACAGTTTTTTAATTCATGACATCGTCCTGAACATGCATGAAATATTTGCCACTGGACATTAAGCAACCAACAATCAATAAATCAATCAATTCATGACGAAATAGATCACCTTCCTTAAGAAAGTTTATCACCAAGTTGCTTTAATTTTCCTGCACAAGGTTTCATGGTACACACTTTTCTGTGTACAAAGTAATTGCATGGATGATATATTATCATAATTTTAAGATATCGTTGTACTCTAATCAAGGAATAAAGAACCATATGTATTACCCTTTATTTAAATGATAAAATTTGCAATTGTCAAAAACAATTTTTATATCTAAAGATTTTAATAGCAGGATATTTAAAAATCAACGTGAAAACTAATTACAAACTATTTAGTTTAATTTGGAACACAGCATTTTATTTCAAAATAGCCAGTGGCAATTTTTGTTTTAAATATCTTGATTACGATACAACGAAATCTTACCCTTGTGGTCATTCATGCGTAGTTACTTAGTACACAGGAAAAGTATGTACTATGAAAATTAGAAGGCAAATATAAGCAATTTGATTGGACGAGAAGTCGTAAGTATGTGCTAAATACTTATATATTAAAAGTTACATAACATTATAGACACTCTAATTATGTCTTTTTATACAAAAACCTTTATACAAGAATTAGTTGTTTTCTACAATTACATAGAAGATTCACTTAATTAGTTATATATGAAATATTAAAATTTATTTCTTTAAATATTCTACCTCAGTTTACCATCATTTTACTATACTAATAAAATTACATTTGTAAATGCATATGGGAAATGGTTTAACAAACAGGACAGAAGGAGTCTTCGGAAACCAAGTGGTACATTTTCTTTCTTGTCAGAGAACATGAAACAATTGTGCATAAATTAATAAGTCAACCTTACAGTGTCAGCTCTCTGTCATAACAGCCTCTCAAATAGTCAATCATGGAATTATTCATGGTTACGTATTATACAGACATTATCCTGAGAAGAGAGACTTGTGTCATCTATCACGTAAGACTTCGTTCATCTTTTTCTTACTGTACGTTGGTACGTTGGCTGTAACAGCCACTATGTTCCGTCAGTTACTTTGTTCCGGCGGAACTTTTCAACTAGTTATTTCGTTCCGATCTGTAATCTGTAATCTGTTATATAGCTTCTGCCAATGTAGGCACACCTCTTCCGAGTAGTATATTTTACAACATGAATTAAAATATCTTCCACCAATATCACTGTACATTATTTACATTTTTGACGATAAAATTGGGCTTAATGTCAATTAGACTGCATCAATACTTTAAATACTTTAAAATCTAAAATATCTATCTAAAGATATCACTGTTTAAGAGTAGACAACCATTAATCACTTAAGGGTTTATATAAAGATATTATCTACTTTTTCTTCTTTTTCTTTATATCATCTAATTGCAACAGTCTATACCTTTCACAATGGAGATTGTAACATTATCGTCTACATTTTGGATCTATAAGTTTCTGTATCACTTTAAAAGATTTTTCATTTCTTAACATTGTCAAGTAAGCAAATGGATCTATAATCAGTTGTAAAATGTCAAAGTGTTCATCTCTCATATTAAAAGAAGCCAACTCTTCACTACAGGAATTAATTAAATCTTCCAAAATCGGTTTTCTTATATCTTCTAGACTTTTACACGTTAATAAAAAATGTGGTAAAGTTTCTTCTGTTCCGATGGAACTTTCCAACTAGTTGTTTTATTCCGAGTGCAGTCGAAAAGTTCCGGAAAAAAGTAGCTAGTTGAAAAGTCCCGGAACAATGTAGCTAGTTGAATAGTTCTGGCGGAACAGAACAACTAGTTACATCGTTCCGAATATACCATATTTCGTCCTTTTTGAAGAAAGAGGGGGAAGAATGAGTATCAGTATATATAAGAGCAAATCATTAATTTACAAGAATACCCAATGCACTGAAAGGGGTTTCTTTGGGGACAAATATGCAAAATTTAAGTTGTATTTCATAGCTCACATAAAACGGAATAAGTTGCATTATCATGCAAATTTAGTATTCATAGTACCCTCAAGAGAGGGAAGAATACCCCCTCTTCATGTGGTTCTTTGCATCAATTCTCCAAATGGAACTTTGTGACTGGTTGATAAGTTCCGTTGGAACTTTTGGGCTAGTTTGTTAGTTCCGGTTTTGACTTATTTGCCAAAGAGGAACTTTGTAGCTAGTTGATAAGTTCCTTTTGACTTATTGTAATCAGTATCTTGGTTTCCCTTTGAAAGGTTCAAATATAATATGTTGCGCTTTTCAGTGACTTTGCATCAATTCTCCAAATGGAACTTTCTGCCTGGTTGATAAGTTCCGTTGGAACTTTTGGGCTAGTTTGCATTGTTAGTTCCGGTTTTGACTAATTTGGCAAAAAGTAACTTTCTAACTAGTTGATATGTTCCGTTGGAACTTTTCAACTAGTCACTTTGTTCCGGTGGAACTTTTAAACCAGAGGAAGAACAAAGTAACTAGTTAATAAGTTCCTCCGGAACTTTTCGGCTAGTTAGTTTTTTTCCGCCCGGAACTTTCCAACGTCGGAACAAAAGAGCATTTACACTTTCACATGTATTGAAAGAAATAAGATAAATAACAGCAGCAAAGCTTCATCTTGGTTTACGTCAAGTATTAAGGGAAAAGTTTCTAATTAGTCTGACTTTTCCGTGTGTTAGAACTTTCATGTATGCTAGGTGTAGCTATTCATTTACACTTTATCAATTTGATGCGCCCAAAATGCTTTCCTAGATTAATAGACGGACAGAGTCAAGTTCACCGGCGCCTATATAGTTATGAACGCTCAAACATTTAAAAAATGAAAGCCACAAATGTATTATACTTGAATATTTGAAGATAAACATATCAAAATAGACCGAAAAGAAATAGTCAAAATCCTCTTAAGGTTAACTTTGTGTGCTCGAGATGGAACCTTAGTTTTCATAATTATAATCAAAATTTTTATTCATGTTATAACAAGTAATTATAAGCAAGGATTTGTACTGATGAGTACATGTAGCAAAATAAGGAGACGTGGTAAGATTGCAAATGAAACAACTATCCACCGAATATCAAATGAAGGTTTTAGCAACTAGTAGTCTACATGTATGTCATCGTACACGATGAGCAAAACCCATACAGCATAGCAAGTTATTAAAATTTCTCACATGAAACCAACAGCCCAATACACAGAACTTCAATGTGCGAAAATCTGATTTTTAGACAAACTTTAAAGTAAAGACATATGGTATGATTGCCTATGTTACAACTATATATATATATACATATATCCACCAAAGTTCAAATGAAGTGAGATAATGATATGTAAGCAATTATACAGTCTATCTTTATTTCATATCATGATAGACAAAAGTCATAGTGTTTTACATGTACATGTATGCTATAAAGTCAATACAAGCCAAAAATGTTCAAACGTATATACTGTTAGATAATGAACATGTTAGTTATCATGTTTACCAACACATTATTCGTTTCATTTACTAACTCAAATACACAATAGTATACATGGTATAGCTAATAATCTTCTTCTGAAGTTCTGTATGTATGTCCTACCGTTAAGGAGCACCACACAATTTCTAGGAGCGGAATAAAAGTATACATTTTATACAGGTTCTCCTTAAGTCCTCACAGAAATAATCATGTATACATGACCCAAATGTCATAAACACTGTTCCAAGTCTTACAAAAGCTATTCGTTCAAACCTAAAATAAAAATGAGGAGACTTACTTTCCGGAATCTGCACATTTCTAGACCCAGTTTGTTCATACGGAAGTGATATTTTCTTACACGAGCCAAAACAAAGACGAAAATTCCTGAAGGTTTCCTTATAAGAAGTAAAATATAGACAACCATACATCTGAATAGAGCAAACGGAGTATCAAACTAATTAAATGAAGCATTATATAGAAGCTTGCTTTAGGTAATTAACTTATTGCCACAAGTTTAGACTCCCCAAAGAACTCGCCTTAGGTTCACAAAAGGCAAAAATATGGCCGTGTTTACATTACACAATCTACAATGAGTACAGACAAACTGGTGTATGTATGCAGTTATTAAGGCATGGCTGAAGCTAGATATATAAAAGTAATATGCATTTTATGTTTCACACAATTAAAACTTTTCCTGGATTTTGATGTGCATTTTCTTTCAACATGTTCAAATCTGCAGAGATGGCAAGATATGGAAACACCAGTTTCACTTGATTTGCCCCATCTCCCCCCCTCCCACCCCTCAGTTGAACACATATGATACAGAAAAGATCCATCATGGTTTTTTTCTTAGGATTTGACACAAAGTTTATATTCAAAGAAAATTATACCTCCACGACTTACTTTTGATTACATTTCGGCTTGTTTAATGTACTACTAAACATGCTAAAAACCATGTTTCAATACTTTTCCAAAAAATAACACAACCTTCAAACAGAAAGAGATGTGTTCACTCTGTTTTTTGCAAAGCGTGTACTTTAATTTATAGGCCTTTTAGTAAGTCCCTAAGATTAAGGCTGAATACAAATACATATTTGTGAAATCATACAACTATTGGTAATTTGCCTAAGTTTACCTAAGTGTTTCCAAATGCAGGAGATCAGCTTGCTCCTCTATATTTGGCTCTATTTCACTGTCACTATCACTGTTGATTACTGTGCTACCTCCGATCGTGAAGTTGTAATCTACTGTGTAGTCATAAATCATAGGATGTTCTTTCCAATATTTATCTAGTCTTCGTTCGAATGTTTTAACGTTTTTGGCAGTTACAATTGTCTCAGGAAAACTGTTCCAGACTTCCACTACTCTGTTGGTAAAATAATACTTTCTAACATCCAGCCTACTCCTGTTCTTGACTAACTTCAAAGAAAGCCCTCTTGTTGTTGAACCACTACTTAATGTGAAAATACCACTTGATGCCCTTTCATCATAGATGTTATTGAGAATCTTGTACGTCTCGATCATGTCGCCTCGTAGTCTACGATATCTAAGTGTTGGTAATTTCAGGAGTTTTAATCTGTCTTCGTATGATAGATCTTTCAAGTTTGGAAGCATTTTTGTAGCCCGTCTTTGTACGTGGGGATCCCTGTGTGCTATTTTTTTAGCTAAAGAAATAGATAACCTAGTTAATATCAAAATGTAATAAAAACCTTTAGACATTTTTTTTGCCAATATAAAGGCATACAGAAAAAAATTAACTGGATTTTTTCTTGTAATTGCGATATAACATTCTTGAAGCAGTATATTTATATAAACATGTATAATGTAGTCGATTGCAAAAAAATAAAAATGGGGATCCCTGTGTGCTATTTTTTTAGCTAAAGAAATAGATAACCTAGTTAATATCAAAATGTTATACGAATAAATGTCTGAATTTTATAGATGATATAAAAGTAAACCGTCTTCATTTGCCTCAAATTTTATGCCCCCCCCCCCCCCCCCCCCTCCCCAGTAGATTTCGAGTGGTTAAATATACATTACCTGCATTTTCCTTTGCCAATACTTTCAAATCCATGTACTGTAAATTCAGAAATTATTGCGTGCATTTATTATTGCGATTTTGTTATTTTAGACTAAAATGTGATTTTAATTTTTGCGCAAAGATATTGAGAAAAATCCTGTTTAATTCATATAAAAAATTTCTAAATGCGGGTTTAAATTATTGCGATTATTACCCTGTCACATTTTTCGCAAAAATTAAAACTCCGCAATAATTTCTGAATTTACAGTAACTGACAGTCAGGGGTACTACTTGTACAAGTAATTTTTATTTACTTGAAGAAGTAAATATTAATATACTTATATAAGTAAATTTGTAGGATACTTATACAAGTGTATTTTATATACTTGTATAGGTAAAAAAAAATGGGCTTAGTTATGTCCCTTAGACATTCAGATTTTTTTACTTATACAAGTAAAAAAGTCATCCTATCTTCTTTTCTTGAATTCTTAGGACTTCTTTGCTCTAATAGAATTTTTGATTGTCTGTCCTTTGCAGATGCCTTTACTAATCATATAAGTGTAATTTCATGGACAATGAAAATCTCATTTGTCTGTTATCTTGAGAACACTGCTCATTTACAAGCCCCCAAGGGGCAATTTTTGAAGGCCTTGCGCAAATACTTAAGATCTTTGCGCAATCAGTTTCTTTGTTGAATTAATAAGATGAAACATTGAACTCTAATAAAAAATTATGAGCTGACCTGAGAAAAATTGTTAAAGGCATGTTTTTACGTCTCAAAATTTGAGAATTTTTGTGGGATTGTAAAAAAAATTTACTTATACAAGTAAATTTTTGAGAAAATTAAGGGGAGATTATTCAAACATTATAATTAACTTATATAAGTTTATTTTATTTACTTCTTCAAGTAAATAAAGATTACTTGTACAAGTAGTACCCCTGACTGACTGATTTGATGAAATTCATGATTTTTCCACCAATTTTGGCTGCTTATCATTAGCACAAAGTCACACATGATACGGATTTATGTTAAAATATTGATTGCCGTCAGGGTTCCCAGGGTCAAATACTTTTTGACACTTCTTTCGCCAAAAGAATATATTTTTCGCCAACTTACATAAACATATTTACTTTTTGTTAAAAATTTTCTATCTTTCTGACAACAAAAACTGCACTGAACAATTGTGAAGTACCCACTTCAAAATAAGTACTTCCAAACTTGTCAAAGTTTAAAGATAGAGTAAAATCAGAGTTTTTATTTTCATTTACCTGTGTTTAAAGTAATTGCAAATGGCTGATATTTTTGTTCAAACACATGAAACATATTGTTTTTCTTAAATTGTTTAACATTTCACAGCAGTATAACATGTTACCTTTATTATTCTTCCCTTATTTTATTTATTTTGTATTTACATTGTATCATAGATCAAATTTATTTGTTCAGTGTATGTTCGCTGGTGTTAATATGTCTTTTGATTGAGTTAAGCCATTTCAATTGATATTTTATAGTGTGTCTTTCTATGTTGTGATGTTACACTATTGTTTCAGATAAGGGTGAAGGTTTGATACCATTAAAACGTTTAAACCCGCTGCAATTGTTTGCACCTGTCCTAAGTCAGGAATCTGATGTTCAGTAGTTGTCGTTTGTTGATGTGGTTCATAAGTGTTTCTTGTTTTTTATATAGATTAGACCGTTGGTTTTCCCATTTGAATGGTTTTACACTAGTAATTTTTGGGGCCCTTTATAGCTTGCTGTTCGGTGTGAGCCAAGGCTCCGTGTTGAAGACCGTACTTCGACCTATAATGGTTTACTTTTATAAATTTTGACTTGGATGGAAAGTTGTCTCATTGGCACTCATACCACATCTTCTTATATCTATTTTTTCTTACTTTTGAGCATTTTTGGTCAGAACAATTGTTTTGTTTTGGACCATCGCTATACAAAAAAGTTAAGAAGTAAAAGTATGCTTTAAACACATGCATCACTAAAATGGTAAAAATCCTTTAGGTGACATGGGATGCCATTTAACCACACAATTTCATTACACAATACAATCCCATTGTTTGGGATAGCTATAAAAGGCAATCAGCTTAATATTGATTTTCTATCAAAATCATAACATGTGACGAGTTCAAGGTGAATTCCCAGTATTGCCCGACCAGCGAATAAGTCTGAGAAACCCTAAAAAATAAACAAGGTGGATGAAGGTCGAACCATTTTATATTTATTTTGCCAATAATGAATTTTAATCGGCACAATTTTTATTTTTTTGCAAAATGCAAAAATGGCGACTGCCACAGAAACCCTGATTACAGTGGAATCCCCTGTGTCTGCATGGCCGGTGATATTACGATTACCTGATTTCATCACATCCACAATGTAATACAAAAAGAATCGTTCTTGGTATTGTTTTAATCATCCTAAGGGACAAAATAGATTAAAATTGATAAGTTCAAGCATAAATTTATAATTGCATTTCCATGATAAACCATATTGAGCTATTTTCCAATTAAAAAAGATACATCATCAGATAAACATGATAAAATAGGTTTCATTTTAAGTCTTATTTTTATCAAAATGAAAAAATTTTGCTCTGCATCCTTGTCAATATGTTTGGTTCAAATTGAACTATATTTCCTAGTAGAAAATCTTTCCTGTATTCAATATATAAAGCTATTTTTTAGAAAGCATGAACAAAATCACCAGACATTTGAAAAATTGTCAAAACAGGGGTTTCCCTAATTTTGGCCATGGACACACATTACATAAAATCTTAAGGGTGAAACCATACATAAAGAAGACTTTCATGAAATTAAAGTATGTCATGAATTTGTTCAAACAATATAATCTGATTATTGGTTTCATGAGATTGCCAGAGTGAAGCCAAAAGTCTTATGTGCGCAGATACACCGGACTGCACTGTAGATCAAAGTGCATTCATAATACAGGCAAATTGACAGGTTGAAACCATGGCAATTGCTCAAAGTTAAGTTTCATCTTTACCTGTCTGCCAAAAATGGCCATGTTTTCACAACATAATTAACCCTAAGGACAGACAAACCTGCGCATCTGGTGAAGTTTTAAGACATGACTGTCAGTCAGGGGTACTACTTGTACAAGTTATTTTTATTTACTTGAAAGATGTAAATATTAATATACTTATATAAATAAATTTGTAAGATACTTATACAAGTGTATTTTATTTACTTGCATAGGTAAATTATTTAAATGGTTTACTTATGACCCTTAGACATTCAGATTTTTGATACGACCGCAAAAATTTTTTGCGGTCGTATATTGGTACGACGTTGGCGTCGTCGTCGTCGTCCGAAGACACATTGGTTTTCGCACTCTAACTTTAGTTTAAGTGAATGGATCTCTATGAAATTTTACCATAAGGTTCAATACCACAAAAGGAAGGTTGGGATTGATTTTGGGGGTTATGGTACCAACAGTTAAGGAATTAGGGGCCAAAAAGGGGCCAAAAATAAGCATTTTTGTAACTTCCAGACATAACTTGTGTGTTAGTGTATGGATCTCTCTGACATTGTACCACAAGGTTCCATATCACACAGGGAATGCTGGGATTAATTTTGGGGGTAATTGCCTCAAAATATTAGGAATTAGGGGCCAAAAAAGGGGCAAAAAACAAGCATTTTTCTAGTTTCATGACAATAACTTGTGTGTAAGTGTATGGATCTTTCTGAAATTGTACTACAAGGTTCCATTTCACAAAGGGAAAGCTGGAATTGAGTTTGGGGGTAATTGCCCAAAACGTTTAGGAATAAGGGGCCAAAAATAAGCATTTTTCTAGTTTCCAGACAATAACTTGTGTTCAAGTGTATGGATCTCTCTGAAATTGTACTGCAAGGTACCATACCACAAAGGGAAGGCTGGGATTGAGTTTGGGGGTGATGAATCATAAGGGGGTACAAAAAATTTTTTTGGGGGGGGGGTTTTCCTTTTTTTTTCTTTTAAAATTTTCCATTTTAAGTTGGGTATTTCTGTTTTATATTTAAAAGCAAATTATAATGATATGGTAGGAGATACACACCAAACAGGATGTGTAAATTATTATATAATTAGTATTGTGCAATAGCAAGAAATTTTCAATTGCACAGTATTGCACAATAGCAAGAAATCTTCAATTGCACAGTATTGCGCAATTGCAAGAAATCTTCAATTGCACAGTATTGTGCAATAGCAAGAAATATCCAATAGCACAATATTGCGCAATAGCAAGAAATTGTCAATTGTACAGTATTGCGCAATAGCAAGAAATATTCAATTGCACAGTATTGTGCAAAAGAAGATACTTCGTATAAATTGCTTATTTCTTGACCAATTTCAATGGGGTTTTATTCTTGAATTCTTGGGGTTCTTTAATATGCTGATTCTAACCGTGTATTAAGTTTTTGGATTTTGGGCCCCGTTTTTAAATTGGTCCACATTGAGGTCCAAAGGGTCCAAAATTAAACGTTGTTTGATTTCATCAAAAATTGAATTATTGGGGTTCTTTGATATGCCGATTCTAACCGTGTATTTAGATTTTTGATTTTTGGGCCCCATTATCAACTTTGTCCACATTGAGGTCAAAAGGGTCCAAAATTAAACTTTGTTTGATTTCATCAAAAATTGAATTCTTGGGGTTCTTTGATATGCTGAATCTAACCATGTATTTAGATTTTGGATATTGGACCATAATAGTTGAATATCCAATTTAAAATTTTTAAGTTCTTAGACCACATTCATTCTGTGTCAGAAACCTATGCTGTGTCAAATATTTAATCACAATCCAAATTCAGAGCTGTATCAAGCTTGAATGTTGTGTCCATACTTGCCCCAACTGTTCAGGGTTCGACCTCTGCGGTCGTATCAAGCTGCGCCCTGCGGAGCATTTTATTTACTTATACAAGTAAAAAACTCATACTATCTTCTTTTCTTGAATTTCTCTGAACTTCTTTGCTCTAATAGAATTTTTAATTGTCTGTCCTTTGCAGATGTTTTTACTTATCATTTAAGTGTAATTTCATGGACAATGAAAATCTCATTTGTCTGTTGTCTTCAAAACACTGCTTATTTACAAGTCTCTGAGGGGCAATTTTTGAAGGCCTTGCGCAATAACTTAAGATCTTTGCTCAATTAGTTTCTTTGTTGATTTAATGAAATGAAACCTTGAACTCTAATTAAGAATTATGAGCTAACCAGAGAAAAATTGTTTAAAGCATGTTGTTACATCCCAAAACTTGAGAATTTTAGGGATTGTTAAAAAAATTTACTTATGCAAGTAAATTTTTTGAGAAAATTAAGGGGAGAATATTTAAACCTTATAAGAAAATATGAATATAACTAATTTACTTATACAAGTATATTATCATTTACTTCTTCAAGTAAATAAAAATAACTTGTACAAGTAGGACCCCTGACTGACTGTCACAGTACTTACATAAATAAATTATGATGTAATTTTTGTAGTAAATAAATAGTTACATTTGTTCGACTGTACAAGGAATACTATACAATTACAATGTACTGTCTTTAGTTTTTTTAAATTCATGGTTTTATTGACTTTTGAGAAACTGATATTCACTTTGAATATTGGCCTCAGTGCATATCGGTTTTTCAAAAGTCAAAGAACCACATATTTACTAAAACAAAAGACAGTAATTGTTTTATTCTATAACCCGGCAGGATAATTTGTCAAAACCAATTTTAGGTCAAACATTTTGCCATTATCATGATTACTATAAAGGTAAAAGTACATGACTTTTAAGTGTGGTGAATATCATTCTTCATTTACAAAACCCTACTAGAATAATACAAAACCCTACTAAAATAATACAAAACCCTACTAGAATAATACAAAACCCTACTAGAATAATACAAAACCCTACTAGAATAATACAAAACCCTACAAGAATAATACAAAACCCTACTAGAATAATACAAAACCCTACTAGAATAATACAAAACCCTACTAGAATAATACAAAACCCTACAAGAATAATACAAAACCCTACTAGAATAATACAAAACCGTACTAGAATAATACAAAACCCTACTAGAATAATACAAAACCCTACTAGAATAATACCAATATGGAATAATTTGTTTTCTTGTTGCAGGTAGAGGCTGATATTAGTGCTAAAGATGGCTGGTATGAAGAGTGTGCTGAGTATAAATGTTATACTTCTTATACATCTGAGCTCCAGTGTCTACATTCCAATCCTGTCAACCAAGCATCCAGATATGATGGTAGTCAACATTAAATGTCCATATGAATGCACATGTGATTTTCAGATAAGTCGGGCTGTTTGTCAGAATGGTTTTAGTCTTTCAATACTGAAAGATAGACGGCATATGTACCAACTGAAGACACTTTCTATTAAGAGAGTTGAAGAAGTGTTGATGAAAATAACCTTTGATAAATTTATAATGCTTGATAATTTAGATCTAAGTAGCAATGTTATTTCTGAAGTTCCAAAGAATGCTTTCAAAGGAAATAAGAAGCTAAAAACTTTAAATCTCATGAATAACTACATAGATGTTTTGAATTTTGAAACCTTTTTAAGTCTTTCAGAATTAGTGACTTTGGATTTAAGTCACAATAATTTACACACTTTTGATTCAAGATTATTTGATGATTTAAAAAATCTTGAGTATTTGAATCTTAGCATGAATGCAATCACCGATCTTCCACTTGGCGCTTTTAAGGAATTAAAAAATCTGAGAATTTTAGATCTGACTTCCAACGACTTGGTCCATTTAACAATGCCAATGTTGGTTGGAATGGAAACACTTCACACACTAAATATTTCTCATAACGATTTGGCCACCATTCCTGATGCAGTTGCTCAATTTTCTGACAATGTTTTCAAATTTATTATTACCAAAAACAATTTTGATTGCTCATGTGAACTCCAACCATTGATTCAAAGAATTAAGTCCAATCCATCAAAATATGGAAATTCCGATGATTTAATTTGTAATGGAAAGTACCATTTGCTTGAATTAGAAAACATCACCATGCCTTGTGCTCCACCTGAGGTTTATTTCATTACAAATTCAAGCAGCATACTTGCTCGTCAAAGTGTTTTACTGCAATGTAAAAGTTACGGAGTTCCTCAACCAGTCAACTATTGGAAATCCCCATGGGGTATCAATTTTGCCCAAGAAAATGTGGGAAATATTCTACAGTCCTATAATATCTCTACTGTGTCTTCTGCTTCTTACATAGGATACAGTTTAGGACTTGAATCCATAGTAGAAATGAAAGATGGCGACTCACTTTATATTGATGTGATGCGAGGTTATTTTGCAGGTGAATTCACATGCATCACTTTAAATGGGATCGGGGCTTCTAATTTTTCGATGGAAGTTGGTATTCATGATGCTATTGCTGACACGAAAAGTATGAGTTATTACATCGGTGCAGGCAGTGCTTTTGTAATATTGATAACTGGAATCATTATTGGGTCAATATCTTTATGCGTACAAAAATGCAGTTGTTGCTGCGCTTGCTGCAGATGTTGTAATTGTGCCGAAACTGTGACAATGGAAAAAGATATTAAATATACGATTGAAGATATTGATGAATTGGAAGAAGGCAAACTCTCAACTCTGGATTCTTGTGCTTCCAATGAGTTTTACTTTTGCCCAGATCCACCAGACACGCCATTTAATTCACCTACTGAACAAACACCAAGAGAATCCCCTCGTAAATGCCCAACACCAAGTGTTGATTCATCTGACAAGAATAAGTCTCCTAACATCAAAGACACTCTTGATGAAGTTAAAGTGAGGCTCGAAAAAAAGATGGAAAAGGTCAGAGGTCACTATAATTCACTTAAAGAAACAGGATCTGGGTATTTATCAAACATAAAAGGATCCGCTGCTATTAAAGTAGCTAGTGGTGTGGAGAGTGTTAAGTTTGGTGTACGATCTATCAAAGAGTTCTGTGGTACTGGTGACATGGGAACACAGACTATATCAGCCCTTTCTTTTGGAACTGATAATCACATGGCAACACAGACAGAAGATGTTAAAATTGAATCCACAACTTTGTAAAATATATTTTCAACTAAGAAAAAAATGCTATAGCTAGTTTACATTGTAATGAACATGTATGTTTTGTAAATGTTGTGTATTCTATCACAATATGTACATGTATATGAAGTATGTGAAAAACTGTAATATTGTAAAAAATGAAATAGCAGTTAGCTAGAAGAGCTTGACAAGTGAAATAAACAAAAATTTGTTTTTCCTTTTTTAAAGTTTTAAATGTAACCTTGGTAACGTGTAATAAATTTTGAAATTTCTTCAATGAGTTTTAGAAAATTAATGTAGTTTGATAATTCAAAATAAGATAAAAGATAGACTGCAATGTATATCTTGTATATATATATACATGTAAAATTATGAAAAAAAACATTTGATTGCATTGAATACATACAATCTTTCTTAATTTCATGAATTTTAATAGAGGCATGAACTAGGAAATAAATTCTGATAGAAATAATTCAGTGTTCTCAAAAACTGTCTGGCCTGTCTGTCCTGATCACCAAAAATCAGGTAGGACCACCAATTTCCAGTGTAGTGTAGGGGGGAGGGTTATTCTTTAGGGGGGCTTTCTGATAACTAGTATAGCTCCTAATTACAATGTTTATCAATATCAGATTAGGAACCATTATTGTGAAATTGATTTGGCTTACATGTATATTTGTTTAATTTGATTCTGTGGAATTAATAAATGATGATAGCAAAAATAAAGGACCACCAAATTTTCAATGGAAACCACCAGATTTATATAGTCTCTGTGGTTCTAATGACCACCAGGCTAAAAAAGATTTTGAGAACTCTGATACATACACTGTTCTTAATGGCATAAACACAATACTCAAATTAATTTACTAGGATTGTGTCGATTCTCAATTTTTTTTTAGGAGAAAATAATATATTGAATGTATATAGGAGGGTCTGGATGAGTTTACAGAATAGAGAATAATAGGCAAAATGTGCAGAATAGATGTTAAAAAAATAAAGAATAGAGAATCATCATGATAATGGGGTGCTAATATATCAAGAATAGAGAGTAATGGGCAAAAATATAGAATACAGGAAAATTACATAAAAAATTAAAGAATACAGAAATGGAGCACCTCTCATCCAGACATTTTTCTTGTCTTTCACATCTTTTTTACATAGCATCAGGCCATGTTTCCTTTGAGTGATTAACACTAAGTTAAATTAGCATGTTAAGTTGATAAAAGTAGTTAGATCTTCAACTTAGGTAGAAAAAACATTCCACACATTCCAGTTGTTTTGAAACATTCAACATTTTGTTTTTAATGATTCCTTGTTGTTATATTTCTTTATCATGTTTATCTTAACACTTACAACTTAATTTTTCATTATTGAACATTTGCATGGGACATTAAATTTCATGGTAGCCATTATCAAGTCAACATGGTCAATATCTAAAACCTGTCATACAAAACTAATATAACTTGGTACGATGAACGTAAATGTACACGAATAAATCTGTGTTTTTCAATGTTGAAAATTATGTCATGTATATGCTCTACAAGGAGGAAACAGAATATATATATAAACATGATAAAGTTATGTAAACTTTGTTTAATTCTAATACCAAGTTTCTGGTTTTTTTTGTATTATTTTATTTTTCCTATTTTTTTTTATCATGTTTACATGTATATGACTATGTTTATACCATATATCATATATATTATATATTAACCTGTTTCTATGTAAGCTACATAGTACAACAAAAAATTCACTCACTTTGTGTCTTCATTACTGATATAATTTCCCAGACTTATTCATCATAGGAATTTATAATGGATTATAACATGCACCATTTGATTTTTTTTTTGCATACATTTTTAGTTTGAGTGCCTAGCTATATATAGGCTTGGGTAGTTCAAAACCAATCCTTAAATGTTAGAAATGTGACAGTGTACCAACTTTAAAACAATACTGAAAGATTCTGTATCAGAATTATTTTTCATTTCAAACTTATAGTGTTGTTAGATTTTAGTTAAATTTTATTTATTTGGATTTCTCTAAGACTTTATACTTAAGGGCATACGATACAGTTTTGATTTCAAGGTGAATTTTTGACAAAAACTTGCATACCAGCTATTTTTCACTTAGCCTTTTTCACTTAGCCAATTTAAATATGTAATAAAAAATATACCTTCAACATACTTTTAGAGATAAATGGGGTAGAAAGTTTAGACATTTACTCAAAATTTCAATTTCTTGGAAATTTCTATACATATGTATATCCTGTGGACAGACATTATTATGTAACCAAACTTTTTTGTTTCAAAAGATAAACAGATGCGGATTTTTGAAAAAGCATTTCGAATATCTTCTCAACATAAATATGCTATATATTTGTGTAACAATTTTTTGGAAATAATTCATTTTAATTGAATTTTCATGATTTTAGATAAAAAAGCACCTTTTGCTGTATATTTATCTGATTATAAAAAAAATCAATGGTGATTTGTTCATAAAAATTGGTACAACTAATCTTCATTCATGTTCAATCCATAAGACATTTTTAAAAAGAAGGGTCCATGTGCTCGTCTTCAAGCTAATGATGAAAATCAGTCGAAAAATGCATCTTTTCCTGATGTGGCATATTCTGATGGCATGAAAAATATCATTTTACATGTATGTTACCAACGTCATTTCCTCCCCTGTAACTGTATCATATGCCCTTAGCTTACATCCTAGCTGTTGTTGGACAGTTTACTAATATTTAGTTTGTGTAACAAGTTAAGAAATGATAAATTAGATATGTTTCCATTCCCATTTATAATTGCTGCTAAATTAGTATATCAGCTGTCATTTTTGGCTGGGTTGCACAAATTTGAAATCCTAGTATTTATATGGTGGGGGACTGCTTGATAGGAATGATAGATTTAATTATTTACCTATAATCTGATAATCATTGATTTATTTACCCTAAGTGACCGTCTGGAAACCACATGTTTTGGACACACAAAGGAACAAAATAGACAAAGTCGAGCAATATCTATATCAGTCAGCGGTACTACTTGTACAAGTTATTTTTATATAATGGTATGATGTCGTCGTCGTCCGAAGACACATTGGTTTCCAGTCAATAACTTTAGTTTAAGTAAATGGATTTCTATGAAATTTTTTAAGAAGGTTCAATACCGCAAAAGGAAGGTTGGGATTGATTTTGGGGATGATGGTCCCAACCGTTTAGGAATTAGGGGCCCAAAACAAGCATTTTTCTAGTTTCGAATAATAACTTGTGTATAAGTATTTCGATTGCTCTGAAATTGTACGACAATGTTTAATACCACAAGGAGAAGGTTGGGATTTATTTTAGGGGTTATGGGGCCAACAGTTTAGGAATTAAGGGCCAAAAACAAGCATTTTCTAGTTTCCAGACAATAACTTGTGTGTAAGTGTATGGGTCTCGCTGACATTGTACCACAAGATTCCATATCACAAAGGGAAGGCTAGGATTGAGTTTGGGGTTAATTACCCTAATATGTAGGAATAAGGGGCCAAAAACAAGCATTTTTCTAGTTTCAAGACAATAACTTGTGTTTAAGTGTATGGATCTTTCTGAAATTGTACTACAAGGTTCCATACTACTAAGGAAAGGCTGGGATTGAGTTTTGGGGTTATTGCTCCAAGGGGGGTTTCAAAAAGTTTGGGGGGGGGGGGATTTTTTTAGAGGATTCATAATTTTTTTTCAAAATTTTTCAAATTTTGAATTTTTGAAAAGTTTCAAGAAGAAATCTTCAATTGCACAGTATTGCGCAATAGATTTGTAAGATCTTGAACACATTTATTTTGTGTCAGAAATCTATATTATGTCAAAAATTTTATCACAATCCAAATTCAGATAGTATCAAGCTTGAATATTGTGTCCAAATTTGTACCAACTGTTTATGGTTCAACCTCTGCGGTCTTATCAGGCTGTGCTCAGCGAAGCATTTTATTATTTACTTGAAGAGGTAAATAATAATATACTTATATAAGTAAATTTGTTATATTCATATTTTCTTATAAAGTTTGAATAATCTCCCCTTAATTTTCTCAAAAAAATTTGCTTGTATATGTAATTTTTTTTTACAATCCCTAAAATTCTCAAGTTTTGGGATGTAAAAACACGCCTTAAACAATTTTTCTCTGGTTAGCTCATAAGTTTTTATTAGAGTTCAATGTTTCATCTAGCATGTCTAGTTAATTCAACAGGGAAACTAATTGCGCAAAGATCTTATGTAATTGTGCAAGGCCTTCAAAAATTGCCCCTTGGAGGCTTGTAAATGAACAGTAATTTTGGAAAATAACAGACAAATGAGATTTTCATGCAATTACACATCAATAATTAGTCCCCTACCGAGGAAGTCGAAGGGGACTTTAGGTTTGCACTCCGTCCGTCTGTCCATCTGTCCATCTGTCAGTCTGGCAAATCAGCTTTCCACACTTTTTTTCTTCGTTCTTGAAGATATTGCTTTGTTATTTATTATATAGTTTTATCATGACAAGTTATAGATCAAGTTCGAATTTTGTTCCGGTCTGATGATTTAGTCCAGAATTATGGACCATAACTCTGGACCATATTTAATGTTAGAGTACTATGTTAAACCATATTTCTGTACAAAGGGAGATAACTCATTTTTTAAAAGATATTCTTTGTTAAATTATTTGAGGAATTTTTTGACAGGTTTGTTTGTTATTTAGTATAAACTAATTTTCTGAATGCCATATATCATGTATATATAAAAAAAAATTATGACGAGAAATCCTTTTATTAGATAATAATCTATTTTTATTAATGTATATATTTCAATACATTACATTGTGTAGATAAAAGTTGTTAACATTTTATAGATAAGTTATAAATCTATATTAGTTTGTGACAAATGAAAGAAAAAAATATTTGGAACTATTAATTATATCTGATTATAATTTGAAAATAGATATACACTGTATTACATCATATCTAATTCTAGAGAACTATTAATCATATCTAATGTTTTTTTCGTCATGCTTATAAGATATTGATTGATAATTGGTATATAGTTTTATCGTGACAAGTTACAGATCAAGTTCAAATTTTTGTTTCGGTCTAATAATTTTGTGCAGAGTTATGGTCCTTGGACTTGAAAATTCACTCATATAATCAGTTTTCAACAGTTTTTAGTCATGCTTGAAGATATTGACATGATATTTACTTTTTGTTTACACCATGACAAGTTATAGAACAAGTTAGCATTTTGTTCCAGTATAATGAATTTTTACCCGGTAGGGGACTATGTATTGCCAGGCAATACTCTCAGAATGCTTGTTAATAAAGACATATGCAAAGGACAGACAATTAAAAATTCTATTAGAGCAAAGAAGTCCTGAGAAATTCAAGAAAAGAAGATAGTATGACTATTTTACTTGTACAAGTAAAAAAATCTTAATGACTAAGGGACATAACTAAGCCAATAAAATACACTTGTATAAGTTTTTACTGATATAAGTATAGTAATATTTACTTCTTTAAGTAAATAAAAATGACTTGTACAAGTAGTACCCCTGACTGTATATGCTCCCATGTTTTTTCAAATAATATGTGATGAGTTTATTAATTACAAATTTTTTTTTAAATCAAAACAATATTAAATATATTAAATTTTTGTAGTAAACTGAAAAAATGGCACTTTGAGTTTTTCTTTATTTTGTGCCCTATAATTCAATTGAAAATATGTACAGTGTCAGCTATTAAAATTTGTTGTCTTGATCAACAATGAAATTGATGAACATTCATTAAGCATCCAATGAAGAAAAATGCATCCATTTCAGAAAAGCCTGTTGATTTTCTGCTGTATCCACATTTCTATTATATTCACAATTTTTGAACTTAGGGCCACATTTACAGTTAACTATTTAGTGTAAATATTTGGTCCCTGTGCTGAAGAGAGTGTCTTTACCTCGAGCTCTAGCTCTATGTGAGGATTTATTTGTGTGCTGTGTTATATGATTTATTTGTGTGCTGTGTTATATGATTTTTATAGTATTATCATTTAACCTTTCAAATATTTACTTCTTGTAAAACAATACCAGATTTCACTTTAAACCCATCCAATAAAAATTGACTTTTACATCAGATACTCCCTAGATCTGAGATATGATAAATGTTCCTTCATTGCTTGAAACTTGATTCTCTTGAATATTTGTATACTGTTGTATGTCTTTTGGTCTTTTTTTTTCACCATGGGGTTGTCAGTGTTTTTTTTTTTTACTTATGAGTTTGAATGTCCCTTTGGTAAAATTCGCCTTTCTTTTTTATTCTTGATTTCCTTTCATTTCTTGTGTATGTTCACTGGTTGTACAATGATTATATGTACTATGTAGATAAAGAGTATGTTGGCTCTGATTAATTCCAGTTTGCTTTGATTCTTCATTTAATCAGAATTTTGTGTAATGTAAATATGATGTATTGTATTCATATCAGTTGTTTATTAAAATAATATTTGTATTTTTGCTGTTAATATGTTTGAAATTATACTTTAATAAAAAATAGTTTCCATGCAAAATGTCTTATGATTTTATTGTTGCCTGCGACAAAAGTTGCAGTATGGGAGACGTAGGTATTACTATCTGGAGGCAGCGGTGTAAACTATTTGTATAAAGCTTTATATTTCAGAAGATAGAAGACCTGGATGCTTCATATCTTGTATGCAGATACCCTATGTTACGAAGTTTCCGTCAATTGTATGTCCATTGTCCTTGACCTCATTTTCATGGTTCAGCGACTCCTAGGAAAAAAAATTGAGGTTTTTTGTCATGACTTTTAATGAGTAATAGGATAACTATATTTTGTATATGGGTTCCTTGCAACGTCTACATGTCCGTCACACAGAGTTCACCTGACCTCGACCTCATTTAATGGATCAGTGATCATGGTTAAAGTTACATGATTAGGTCTGTTTCTCAAATACTATAAGCAGTTGGTCAACTATATTTGGTGTATAGAATGATTGTACTGGGTACATGTCAGTCGGGCAGGTTTCATCCAACCTTGACCTCATTTTCATGGTTCATTGGACAATGTTAAGTTTTTGTGTTTTGATCAGTTTTTCAAGTTCTATAAGTAATAGGTCAACTATATTTGGTGTATGGAATGATTGTAAGGTGTACAAGTCTGTCTTGCAGGTATATCAACCGACCTTGACCTCATTTTCATGGTTCATTGGTCAATTTTTAGTTTCTGTGTTTTTGGTTCGTTTTTCAAGTGCTATAAGCAAAAGGTCAACTATATTTGATGTATGGAAAGATTGTAAGGTGTACATGTCTGTCTTGCAGATATCATCTGACCTTGACCTCATTTTCATGGTTCATTGGTCAACGTAAGTTTTTGTCTGTTTTGTCAAGTACTATAAGCAATAGGTCAACTATATTTGGTGTATAGAAATCGAATGATTGTAAGGTGTACATGTCAGTCTTGAAGGTATCATCTGACCTTCACCTAAATTTTATGGTTCATTGGTCAATGTTTAGTTTTTGTGTTTTGGTCTGTTTTTCAAAATTAATAGCAATAGGTCCGCTATATTTGGTGTATGGAATAATTGAAAGGTGCACATGTCTGTCTGGCAGGTATCATCTGACCTTGACCTCATATTTATGGTTCATTGGTCAATGTTTAGTTTTTGTGGTTTGGTTTGTTTTTCAATAAGCATACTCAATAGGTCAACTATATTTGGTGTATAAAAAAATGTAAGGTGTATATGTCTGTCTGACACAATTTATCTGACTTTGACCTCATTGTCATAGATTTTTTAAAATGTTAAGTTTCTGTAATGCTTTTTGTAAAACCTTTATCTTTAAGACTTTCAACATAAAATCAATGGTTAGTAAAGCAGGCGAGACATTTCAGTGTGTGCACTCTTGTTTTATGTACATGCACACTTTACAAAAACAATATCCTGTGTGGCAGGCTGGCTGAATGGTTGACTTTCAAATTTTATTTTTAGCTTTATCTCTTAAAGACATTTTAAACTCTGGGTTAATTCTACCCTTTACAATCTGTATAAAGCCACACTCTTTTAGTATAAAGATGACTTAAAAGTTATTGTCTGGTACATGTATATGTCTGATATCCTTGAGCTCATTGTCATGGTTAAGCATCTGTTTATCACAGGATTTCTCTGTTTTTATCCTGTTTATAATTAAGCATATCCCGCAGAAAGTTATCAACAAAACTTATCAAACATACCAGGCTTATAATTTGTACGCCAAATGCGCATTTCAACTACAAAAGACTCATCAGTGACTTGAATAAAAATTGAGTGTATGTACCTGTCTCAAGTCAGGAGCCTAATATGATTGAGTGCACATGGTTGTCATTTTTGCTGTTTCTCATTTTTGTTTTTCGTTCATTGTTTTGCATATTTTGTTCTTATGTTGTACTGTTACACCACTGTCCCAGGTTAGGGGGAGGGTTTGGCACCAACAAACTAGTTTAACCCCTCCACATTCTGTATGTGCTTGTCCCAAGTCAGGAACCTGTAATTCAGTGGTTGTCGTTTGTTGCTGTGTAACATATTTTTTTTCGTTCATTATTTTGTACATAAATAAGGCCGTTAGTTTTCTCGTTTAAATTGTTTTACATTGTCATTTTTGGGCCTTTAATTTATAGCTGACAATGCGGTATGGGCTTTGCTCATTGTTGAAGGCCGTACGGTGACCTATAGTAAACTGTTGTTAATTTCTGTTTCATTTGGTCACTTGTGTAGAGTTGTTTCATTGACAATCATACCACATCTTCTTATTTTATATAAAAAGCACAGGGACTCGGTTAGCAGATTAAACATTTTTTAATCAATGTTTTTTATTTTTTTTTTTTAGTATTTCCTGTCTATTTGTATTACTTTATTAACGCATTTGACGATAGCATCAATATTTCTTTGTTTTCTAGCAATGTGCAGTTTACTATCCATAACCCTATGCTGAAAAAGGATTGTATTAATGTGTCTCACTTCGTGTTGGAACCTTCACGTTCTCGAAAAAAGTTTTAGAGGATGATATGTTACACAGTAGTTGTCATAGACGAATCTGAATGCTATTTCTAGTATTGTTTTGATTTATAGTCATTGGGGGTATTAAGTGTTAAATTTTTTATCGTTGTACCTTTGATCGTCCTTCCGTCCGTCCCATTTTCGTTTCCGCACTCTAACTTTAGTTTTCCTCATTCAAATTTTATGAAACTTATACACAATGCTGAGAACGAAAACTCGACAGAGTTCGAATTTGGGCAGTGAGTCTTTTACCGTTTCTTTCGTACAAAAATACCAAGCCAGAGGTCAAAAATTAAAATTACTCAAAATTAATGTATGGAAGATAGTAAGTTTGTTTAATCTGGTAAAAAAGGATCCAATTCTCTTGAGAACATTCAGTTGTTGTGACGCCTTTCAACACAAGTTACTTATATGTGCCTCAATTTTAAGTTGGTAATCAATGTCATATTCCAAGTAACTTATTAACATTTTCTTCACATGAAACACTATTTTGCTGAATTTGGATGGACGGATTTTCTACTATGTTTTTTTTCCTGCAGCAATAACCTGAAATTGATCAGGATTTACCTGCATATGATGTTCTTTGAACCACCCAATCAGCACTTGAGACAGATTGTAATTTAGATATAAGACTGTTATAATCAGGACTGAACGACGGGGTATTGTTAGTATAATTATACAAGGTACTCTCACAAAAAAACACTTTAAACAGAACGGGCCCCTATATAGGGCCTTGGAGTGCATCCGTTTGAATGGCAGCCCATCTACTCGGAAAACTGTTTACTTAAATTTGTCGTTTTCTGTCCGAGATATGACTTTAACAAAGATACTGAATGTAAGAGGAAACACCATCATTATGCTAATGATTTATCCAATAGTATATCATGAGGTAAACAATCGAATAATTTTTTTATAAACCCACGAAAACTTCAAAAGAAGGTGGATGAGTTTAAGTGTTAAAAAACTTGTTTAGGCCCACCACATTTTTGACATTTAGTAAGTAACTTCGTCAGTGGTTGTCTTAATGTACACATTAGTGTTTTAGTTGAGTTTTTTTAATATATAATTTGGTGTTGTTTTAAAATTGACAACTTGTCCAGACACGGGTCGACTTAAATTTTGACTTAATAGTGTAAGGCAGTAACTTGTCTATTTATGACAAAGGAGGGCTGTCTGTTTTGTCACAAACAGGCACGGAAGCACCTCAATCGTTGGTAATAAGTTAAATCACCTTGAAGGGCACAGCCTCTCGATTCGCGATTGGTAATGCTATATAAAATAGAACATGAAAAAGTTGTAATGCATACGAACAACAATTTCTTTCCCAAAAAAGATAAATGTGACATTCAAATGAACAGTTTCCAAACTCCAAAAGAACAATACTGTAAGTTAAGACATTATTGCGTACATTAAATCTTATATTTGCGATTTTTGAATAATGGACAAAAATGCGAGATTAGTTGTTGCGATTTCAGGAAAATTTGCATACATTAAAGAGAATGCGTATTCATATTATTGCGATATACACAGTCGCATTGTTCGCATTAATAAAAAAAAAAACAAAGCCCATACCGCATAATCAGCTATAAAAGGTTAATTTTTTTTCAGACATCAATATTTATGGCAAAACTTCTTGAATACAATGTAGTAAGCAATTTGGATAGATGCTTTTTATGGTAAAAAAAAAACTAGTATAAATGCAGAGCAAATTTTCGAAAACAATGTCTTCTCATTTTTCCGTATTTAACTTGTAAATGAAGTTATTAACATTAATATGTAGTCGGGAGTTTTTAAAAAAAAAATTTAGATGGCAATTACTTTGTCAAACCTTCAATGAATATTTTAGAAACTTAGACAGAAGCTTTTTTCATAATTAATTTTTTTTGCAGTTTTAACATTTAAATAAAATCTGGGGTTAGAATATTTAGACACCAATAACTCTGTCAAACCTTAGAATTTTATGATAAAGCTTTTTCGATGATTAAGAGATAATGTCTGACGCAAAACTTTGAAGATATATTTTATTCATTTTTTTATGTTTAACGGATTGACAGACTTCGTCTTTTTGCAGTTTACATTTAATTGTTGTGGGGATGTATAAATACTCTGCCACGTGTGGTCTGTATTTTGTTAGATGTTTATCCTGCTTTGTATATATCTGATGATATATTTTTTATTGATTTCTTTGGTTTATTTCCTTTCGAATGATATGCAGAACATGGATATTTATTGTATAGGAAAAGAGCGTGAATTGGAATAATCCGCCATCTACCGCATTTTTCAAAGAGACACCAATACCGTGCGCAACAATGAGCAAAACAAATATGATATATAGCAACTGAATCACTGGCTCCTGACTTGGGACAGGCAAATACAGAATGTGGCGGGGTAAAAATAGTTTGAAGGCGCCAACCCTCCACTAACCTGGGACAGTGGTGTAACAGTACAACATAAGGACAAACTATAAGAATCGGTTGAAAAGGGCTGACCTCATCAGATATATACAAAGCAGAAAAAAACATCTAACAAAATCACAGACCAGACGTGGCAGGGTATTTATACATCCCCACAACAAAAAAGACACTAGAGTTTTCCATACTTTGCAAAAATGCTATAATTCAAAAATTAATTAAAAAAAAAGTATGGATCGCCGACCTTTTTTTAAACTTATTAATACATTTGTGAAAAATTATTAGATTTTGTAAGGATGCTACATGGAAAAGGCACTTTTATGTGAACAAAAAGAAAGCTAAACGTTAAAGTTTTAAATAAAATATATATGAAAAGATGGTCTTTTTGTTATGCTGTGCTTTCCGAAATCAAAAACAAAAAACAAAAAACAAACGGAATCGATCCTCGTACTCGTTTTCTTACTGAATCACAAAATAGGTCAATTTATTGAAATTCCTTTGTAAAATAAATTTTTTGAATAATCATGATTTAGAAATTCTAATCAATGAAAACATTTTCTTTTGAAATGAAAAAGATATATAAATTTCTTTACGGTCCTATGTTTTACATATAACGGTCTTTCTATATTTAAATGAGATAGGGTAATACCCATTGAATTCCTTTCTGCACGGATGATTTCGGCAGTCAGTATATAAGGAAGATTTGAGGTGTGTTTGACCAATGCGACGCTCGTTACAAGATAGTAAGGACTATGTTAGTTTGGTATACTATTCCTCACCCTCCCACCCCATTTACGCATATTATACATAGGAAAAATTGCAACATATGTTTTCATATGTTTAACATATGTTTTTCATATGTTTGAAAACATATGTAAACATATGTTTAGGCCCGACATGAAAACATATGTTTTCTAACATATGAAAAACATATGGAAAACATATGAAAAACATATGTTTTTAAAATCATATGAAGAACATGTTTTTCATACATGTAAACATATGAAAAACATATGTTTTTCATATGTTTTTTACAAACATATGTTTTTCATATGTTTTCATACCTGGCCTAAACAAATGTTTTCATGTTTGTCCCAAACATATGTTTTCATATGTTTGGCCCAAACATATGTTTTCATATGATTTTATCTTGGTCTTAAATATATATTTTTTATATGTTTTTAATTGTTCAAATGCATTTATTTTCTCATAGATTCTAAACATGGTTTTTATATATATGTATTTTTTTTTGCGATAGGTTTTTAAGGGTAATGTTTTGATGTTTTTTAATATGTTTTTCTTTAATTTGTTATCTTTTTTTTCTGCCAGGAACTCATTTTGAGTGTAAATACTTCATTGTGATGAGTTGTTGCTTTAAAAAGTAAAAAACCCAAATTACCAAATTCCACAGAAAATACATGGCAAAATCAAAAGCTCAAACAAATAAAAAACAATAAGTGCTCCATAATTTTTATATAAAGTAGAATTTTTTTTATTAAGTTGTTGTCTCTTCTATTTTCATATTTTTGTCTCTTTGACATACATTGTACCATATTTCTATTGTCTATATTCTATTTTCATATGTGTGTCTCTTTGACATACCCCATTTCTATTGTCTATATTATATTTTCATATGTGTGTCTCTTTGACATACTCCATTTCTATTGTATATATTCTATTTTCATATGTGTGTCTCTTTGACATACCACATTTCTATTGTCTATATTATATGTTCATATGTGTGTCTCTTTGACATACTCCATTTCTATTGTCTATATTATATGTTCATATGTGTGTCTCTTTGACATACTCCATTTCTATTGTCTATATCATATTTTCATATGTGTGTCTCTTTGACATACTCCATTTCTATTGTCTATATTATATTTTCATATGTTTGTCTCTTTGACATACTCCATTTCTATTGTCTATATTATATTTTCATATGTGTGTCTCTTTTACATACCCCATTTCTATTGTCTATATTATATTTTCATATGTGTGTCTCTTTGACATACCCCATTTCTATTGTCTATATTATATTTTCATATGTTTGTCTCTTTGACATACCCCATTTCTATTGTCTATATTCTATTTTCATATGTGTGTCTCTTTGACATACTACATTTCTATTGTCTATATTCTATTTTCATATGTGTGTCTCTTTGACATACATGTGTACTCCATTTCTATTGTCTATATTATGTTTTCCAATGATGTATGTGATATTTCTATTGCTATATCACCATACACAGATATGTAATTGTCTACACTGCTGGCTATTACTGGTGCATTTCTATGCAGCTGCTTTTTGGAAATATCCTGTATGATTAAGAAAGACAACTAGATTGACTTTGAGCTCAATATTGTATTAATTAAAAATTAATGTTCTTTGGTTCTGTTTCTTTACTTTTCAGTTCCTGCAAGTAGAAATAAAAGAACAGAGTTTCAATGTCCACCTAGTTGCACATTTTTAGCTCACCTGGCCCAAACTTTTTAACTTCTTCTAGAGAACCACTGAATGGATTGGAACAAAATATGGCATGAATGTTCCTTATGAGGTGCTGACCAAGTGTTGGTTCTTTGTTGCCGATCCATCATCCAAGATGGCCGCCACTGGGGGACTTAGTTTAACATAGGACTCTATGGGAAATACATACAAATGTCTTCTTTTAGAGAACCACTGAATGGAATGAAACCAAACATAGCATGAATGTTCCTTATGAGGTGCTGACCAATTGTTGTTACTTTGTAGCTGATCCATCATCCAAGATGGCCACCAGCAGGGGGCTTAATTTAACAAAGGACCCTACGGGAAATACATACAAATGTCTTCTTTTAGAGAACCACTGAATGGAATGAAAGCAAACATAGCAATATTAAACCAAATTTGGCCTCAAACATTATTATAAGTATCTGTTATGATTTTTATCTTTTTTTATATGATTTCAAAAACCCAAGTAGAGTGAGGTGAGCGACACAGGCTCTTGAGAGCCTCTAGTTTGTCTATCAAGGGCCAATATTAACATGATTAAAAAAAAACAACATGTTTTTTTGTTCTCAAAAATATTTATAAATAAAAAATGTGCTTGGGGGAAAAAAAGGGTTCTTTTTCTTGTATACTAAATATTTCAAACTGACCTTCAAGGGCATTACTATAATAGTATACTATAAGTTTAATAAAAAAAATTGAGAGCATTTACGAGGCCATTTTCAATAAATTCAATATTTCCAAGAGGCATAACTCTTTTGAAAAAATTCAATCGGCCATCATTACAACTGCCAGTTGGACATCTACACCTTACAATAATTCCATACACCAAATATAGTGAGTATAACTTATTGCTTATAATACCTGAGATATTGACTTGACCACGAAAACTTTCTGACAGAGTAGACAGACACTAGCTATAGGACCTTGCAAGGTACCCACATACTAGGTAAATAGAAATATCCCATTACCATGATTACTATAAATAATATTAATAAGAGAGAAATTAACATTACAAAAAAACTTTAACCACAGACTGAACCTAAACTTTAGGACAGCGACGCCGCCCCTGGCAGAATCTAGGATCACTGTCTCGCTTTCATGAAATAAATTTGCAAGCTTGACAAAAAGCAGAACATTTATTTCAGAAATTGAAATTCTATGCAATTATAAATACTTGTATGCTGTTATGGTCCTACATATTCTTGTGTGTTCAATATTTTGGCATTACACAAAGTCATGCTTTCTTAGACTGTTTGAAATGACCAATGTTTTGTTGTTACATTAATTGATTAAATCTGTTGAAGGTGAATTGATAGATATTTTAGTTTGGGAAAACATAATTTTTGCATCTTTTATTATTTTGTTATTTCTTTTTAAGTGCTTGTTGATGAGTCCAGCCCTTTCTGGATGATTTTGACTTTTGTTTCTTATGTTGGGTGCTGTCTGCCATACTGTGTGTAGTTTTATTTTTTTCATTGGTTCACATTTTTTCATCCTTATACAAGTTATAGCCATAATAGGTTACTTTATGGTATGGATTTTGATCATTGTTTATGGCTGTACAGTGACCAGCAAATGTTTACATCTTCGTCCTTTGGTTTTTTAATTGATAGTTGTCACATTGAGAATCATACATGTACCTCACCTCCTTATACATGTTATATCTATATGCTGGTTCATAAAAAATCTTAAAAGGAAATTATTCAATTGTTATATGTTTGAAAACTCTTTCCTATAATGCAAAAACAATAATTGATTGATTTTTCTAGCTTATTTTAATGTTCAGTGGCAAATATTTTATGTATATTCAAGACGAGAACAACTTTTAAATATACAATTCATAATACATTGTAATATAAGCAAATGCTTTATCTTAACTTCTGACATCTCATGCGTGTGTGTGTTTGTGGAGCAGAAGAAGGATTCCTTGATAAAATTGAGAATGGAAATGGGGAATGTGTCAAAGAGACAACAACCCGACCATAGAGCAGACAACAGCCGAAGGCCACCAAATTGATGCATACTTTCCATCAGAAAGACATAAATAAACAACAGTATACATGGTATACATGCTGTAACATGTACAATTACACTTGAAAAAGTTTTAAATAGATAACATTAAATTATTTAAATTAACTGCAATTCTACAGATGAACTTACTTTGATACCAGTTCTTTTTGCCTGACAGCCGCACCTACATGTACACCAGTGATTCTAATACTGCACTTTCCTTTCATTTGGTAACCATGGTAACAAGCTAAAATTGTAAATCTTAATTTAATCCAGAAATCCAGACAAAAACAAGATAATTTTTGTAGACGTAGTATGAACTGTTGCTCACTAACTTATATTTTTACTTTTGAGTGAATGGAAACAATATGCAACAAACAACAAAAAGATCAACAGTGTAACTAATATTAATAATATATGTATAGTCTAAGCCCGTCTCAGTATAGTATGAACTTTTTCTAATATAAAATCATCTATTCTGCTGTCTACAGTTTAAAATAAAATGCTCCCCAGGGCGCAGCTTGATACGACCAACAGATGGGGCAAGTATTGACACACTATTCAAGCTTGATACAGCTCTGAATTTGGTTTGAGATTAAATATTTGACACAGCATACATGGCATAGGTTTCTGACACATAATGAATGTGGTCTAAGAACTTAAAAATTTTAAATTAGACATTTACCTATTATGGTCCAATATCCTAAATCTAAATACATGGTTAGATTCAGCATATAAAAGAACCCCAAGAATTCAATTTTTTGATGAAATCAAACAAAGTTTAATTATGGACCCTTTTGACCTCAATGTGGACCAATTTGATAACGGAGCCCAAAAATCAAAAATCTAAATACATGGTTAGATTCAGCATATCAAAGAACCCCATATATTCAATTTTTGTTATACTCAAACAAAGTTAAATTTTGCACCCGATTTGGACCAACTCAAAAACTGGGCCCACAATCAAAAGTCTAAATACATGTTTAGATTCAGCATATCAAAGAACCCCAAGAATTCAATTTTGTTAAAATCAAACTAAGTTTTATATTGGACCCTTTGGACCTTAATGTAGACCAATTTGAAAACAGGACCAAAAATAAAAAATCTAAATACACGGTTAGATTTGGCATATCAAAGAACCCCAATAATTCAATTTTTGATGAAATCAAACAAAGTTTAATTTTGGACCCTTTGGACCTCAATGAGGACCAATTTAAAAACAGGACACAAAATCCAAAAAATTAATACACTGTTAGATTCAGCATATCAAAGAATCCCACATTTTCAATTTTTGTTGAAATCAAACTAAGTTTAATTTTGGACCCCGATTTGGACCAACTTGAAAACTGGGCCCAAAATCAAAAATCTAAATACATGTTTAGATTCAGCATATCAAAGAACCCCCAAGAATTCAATTTTTGTTAAAATCAAACTAAGTTAACTCTTGATATTTAGTAAATCTTGATTTTCTGTTAAATAGGCAAAATTGTTTAAATACACCATTTATAGGCATGTTGTGGAATCTCAATAAATACTTATATAGATGATTGCTTTACTGGTTATCTTCGATAGAATTTATATTTCAAAGTGAAGTAATTCCTGTATAAATAATTTATCCAAGACATTACTGGTATATATAATAAACCGTTGGTATACATTTTTTGTACATAAATATTACATGAATAAACAAAATATTTAAACAAAGTCATCCTTTTCATTACATACCTCTCATCACAAAATAATTATTGCCTGCTGCTCCTTATATGCACTTAAATCAATATGACAATCTATGAATCCATTATATAATCTAGAAAGCAATGCCTCAAATGAATTCTGTTCTGTTGCTTAGATTCTTCTACTTCTTGAAGTACAAAATGTACTTTCATTGAAAATGCTAAAAGAAATAATGTATGACATGTACAAATGTATAATAAAATGAAGTTACAATATTAATATATCTGCCAAATTTATTGCTTTAAATTTTTTTATATGACAAAATTGGCTTATTTTGATCTTTTAAAACAAGAACAACAGATCTAGACTTGCCCTGAAAAAAAAATTAACTATATAAAAAGTATTTGAATGTTCTAATCCATCTTATGTTAATTGTTTATTAAATCCATATGACCGTTGTATGAAGTGATGAATCAAAGTGGTTAAATCTGCTTTGTACAGATCTGATGTCAGATGAGTTAAGCCTTTTCACACCACTATCCCAGGTTAGGGAGCTACCATTTGATTTAGAGGGGGTGGGGGGTAGGATGAAAAAGTTTGTCCTGCATTTCCATTTTTCCACTCTATTCAGTCCTGTCTTTTTTTTATTTATAGCCCTTATGGAACTGAATTGTTTGCCGCAAACTTGCAGCAGACTTGCTGCAAGCTTGCGGCAAACAAAAAGTTTGCAGGAACACAGAAAATAGTGTTTGCAGATGTTTGCCGCTAGCTGCAAACTTCCGGCAAACATTGCAGCTTTTTGCTGCAAGCTTGCGGCAAGTTTGCAGAAACATCAATGTTTGCCGTAAGATTGCCAGAAAGTTTAAAATTATAAAGAATGTTTGCCGCAAGATTGCAGAAAACTTTGACCATTCTATATGTTTGCTGCAAGATTGCAGAAAACTTTGACCATTCTATATGTTTGCCAGAACATTGCAAGAATTACACAATATTGACTGGGCATGCCTAGTTGGCACTTCCTGGAAGTTATCAATTTGAAATTGTGGCTAGGTCATGTTGGTTGTGTTTGGAAAATGCATTTCACAAATAAGAGATCAAGGAGGCATTTTGGTTCAATAGAAAAAGATATTCAGTATGTAATTTTGTAAGTACAAATAATTCATAGAATGTTTTAATAAAATAATTAATGTTATCATCATGCATAATAAAGTAAGCAACTATATATACATGTATGTGTGTAATGAAAAACTTTAGCTATTACAAGTTTGAATTTTGTAACTGATGTACTGTACCATGTTTATTAAAACTAAGTTCAATTCTGTTATGCAATTGTTACCTAGCTTTATACTCAATACACATTTGAGATTTATCCTTTTTCATTTCTTAATACAGGTATATGATGTCATTTGAGAATGACCCCTGCCCCCTTTTTCAAAACTCAAATGCATGTATGTATTTCCTTAAATCTCGTAAGTTTGCAAGAACTCTTTTAATGACTGTTTGTATACAGACATGAATTGATTTTTTAAAAATGTTGCTGTGTAATTTGAAAGAGATAAATTGAATATGTCTACACACATGACATTGGTATAATGTGTAGTTCCTGCAAGTTTGCCGCAAGTTTGCAACAAACAATTGCCGCAAGCTTGCAGCAAACAATTGCCGCAAGCTTGCGGCAAATCTAATTTGCATAATTATGTTTGCAGCAAGCTTGCCGCAACCTTCATTTGCATGGTAAAATGGTTGCGGCAAGTTTGCAGCAAATGTTTGCTGCAAGCTTGCGGCAATGTTTGCTGCAAACTTGCGGCAAATGTTTGCCGCAGAGCTTATTTTTCGGTAAGGGAGTTTATCCTGACTTTTGTTTTACATCAATTGTCATCCTGCCTTTTTTTCAAATTTCATCCTAGACCCCCACACACACACACACACATACAAAACAAATTATAGCTCACTTAAGGGGAAGGTTTGGCTGCTTTGGCACCAATAAACTAGTCTGACTCCACCACATCCTGTATGTGCCTGTCCCAAGTCAGGAGCCTGTAATTCAGCGTTTCAAGTTGTCGTTTGTTCACTTTGTTGCTGTATATCATATTTGTTTATTTGTTCCTTGTTTTGTTTATAAATCATTACATGTATCAGTCTGTTATTTTCCTCATTTGCATTGTTTTACATTTGTCATTTTCATTTTAAAAATGTCTTTTATAGCTGACTTTGTGGTATGGGCTTTGCTCATTGTTGAAGTCATCTTGTACCATAACTTATTATACATGTGGTTGTTAACTTCTATATCATTTGATCTCTGGTGGAGAATTGGACTCTTCCCATTGGCAATCATACATGTACCACATCTTCTTATTTTTATATTCACATTAAAGTATATGTAAAGTAGACCATTCATGCACTCTAGGGTCCACTTCTTATAATTTTCAAGGTGATAAGACCTGCCGCTGTAATAGCCTGGGTCATATTTTTCAGCTTAAAAATATGTGAATAGGTGTGGAAAACTATCAGAAGTATAATACATGTATGATAAGGCCAAGTAAATTTAATTAGTAGATTTTCATCCAAATTTTTGAAAAAAATGGGGTGGGTGGGAGGATTTTATTTTTTATTAGATATGAAACGTGTAATAATAAGGTTCTATCATGTATATACATGTATAACGAATCAAACATACAAAGAAATGCAAAAACCAAAGGATGTTATTAATGAAGCGAAATTATCGACAGTTACCGGTAACGAAAATGAACAAAATCCGGAAATCGTAAATTTTTCAAAATAAAAAAAATTGGGGCGGAACGATTTCAGAGGGGCGGGCGGGGATGAAAATCTATCAATTAATTTTAATTGGCCTAAGGCTGAGAATTACTAGATATTTATTGTTATAGTACTCAGTAATAGTAGTCTCAGACTCAGGATAATTAAGGCTTATTGTACTTGTCATATGCAAAGCCCTGTAATTTTCTTAGTTGCAAGTCTTGTTTTGCCTTAAGTTAACATAACATAAGGAATTTGAGCCTCAGATTTAAGCTTTAATCAAATGTGATGATTTTCTCGGTAATGCTAGAATGTGATTCTTGTCCGCTCCAGCATGTCCTGGAATCACTCATAATTAAAATTTGGAAAAGGTTACATGTACATTATTACCTACGCAATGTATGAAAAGGTATATATACATTTTTTAAATCTAAATTAAATGAAAAGGGGGAGTAATTGATCCCCAGGGGCACCCTTATCTATTAATTGTGAAATAGCTACTAATTGCTAAAGAGATTATAAAGTCGTCTGCACAGTGTCATGGTTTTAAAACAACTGACAAACAAATACAAATATCACACATCATAAGACACGATTATACAGGTCTGCATCAGTTAAAGTAATTAAGTTCTGTAGTGACATTAGATAAACAATTTCAATACATTACATCAAGTATTTGATGTACCACCCCCCCCCCCCCCCCCCCATTTTCCAAGTTTGTCTTATTGTCTAAACGGTTTACAAATTATATGGTTATTTGGGATGTATTTGTGTCTTAATCTTGTAACATTCTCATTATGAAATATAAACAGATAAATAGATAATGAAACGGATTACCCAATGCAATTATATTTATATTACAATATCGTTCTCAGACTCAGGTTTACAAATATCTAGTCAAATAGTTTTTCGTGAAAAATAAAGCACACACATCTTCCTGCTTTTATTCAATAATTAAACAAAATGTGCATAATAATATTTACCTTTCGTTGTGCTTTTAGGTACGTAAAACTATCCATCAAAACAAAAATACTTTCGCTGTTTCGTTGCGTTGACTTTCTATAGATTCTAAATTTTCGATGTTTCGTTCCCCGGTTTCTTCCAGTTTATCGACAAGTCACCCATTTCAATTTATCTGTTTATAATAAATTTTGATTCACCATTTTGAAAGTTCTTTGTATCATCTTATCTCTGTCCATTCAAATTTTAAAATGACAACAGTGATCGCGTGAGGTGGCACGGTAGTATTTCCTGGCCCATAAGGGATAATGATAGCCTTTTTAAACTTTTCACCACTTCCTAGCACTGCCCAAAATTCTATGTACACAGTTTACTGAAGTACTTTCATTATAATTTTCAGAAATGAATTTAAATATGTATCATGACCGTTTACTTTTTTTGCTATCTTTAAAAACCTAAGGCCACTAGTGCTTTTATGTCTTTTATCATGCAGTGAATACAAAATTTAAAAAAATTCTCAAAAATTCATTTTCACCTGTATGTAAAATTATTTCATATTTTTCTACACCTGATTCATCCCTCAGTTTGGGAAAATATGTTCAGTTGATACTGTATTTTTTGTCCAAGCACACTGTTCAAATACATTGACTTAGGTAGGGTACACAAAAGAGCAACCTAAATTCCGGAATGCAAATACTACCGTGCTACCTTAACCAAGACATCACAAACTTGAAACCAGTCATAACACCTATGATGCATAGACTTCTTACTAGGAAACATATTACAATAAAGAATACTAGTCTGCACTTATTCCTTACCCCAAAAAATTTAAAGATTATACCCCTACCCCAGCTGGCAGATTTTACCTTTTTTTTCATCTTGCCATTTTTACTTAAGGAGTGAACAAAACCCAAATATATGATGTTTCAAATCAACACAGAAGTAAAACATGATGATTCAGGAGGAATTATTGGATTGCCAACTCTATTTATAGTTAATCTGACTGAAAGAAACAGTTTAAGCACCAAATCATGAAAAATGATAGTAAAGTCCATTCCACATTTTACAGCATGCCTTACATTCCTTTAAGCATTTCCAGATCATGAAGGCAATTTAACAAGATTCTTTAGATGGCAGTTAACTATTATTCTAAAGACTTTTTACAATACATGTACTAGAATATATCTCTAAGATGACTGTTTGTCTATTTCTCATGTATGCATTAAGTTAAATTATGTCCCCTTAAATAATCAATTTACCTTTATTGTGTATTTCAGGGTCAGAAAATCAAAACAATTCATCATATTTGCATGGAAAATGAATAAACTATTTAATCTTGCTGATATACAATCTTAATCACATTCTTTGTCCAAATAATTGTCTTGTCAATGTAAAGAAACCCCTAATACTATCTCTATTTCAGCTAAATATGAGGGCTAAATGAATAAGTAAGGACCCCTAAACCACTAACTGGTTCCAAAAAAGCTCACACTGGTGCCATGTTACCACAGAACTACAAATTGAACCTAAAGAAAACTAGTATAGCTGTACTTGTGTGGAAAAAAATAAAAAATTATGCACTTTACTTATTTCGGTGAAAATTATAGGACGTACAGACAACTAAATATGTCGCGTCTCAAATTCCAGTTGTTGCACATGTGTCAGACACTGCGAAAAGTTAAAGCAAATTAACATTTATTATCAAAAATGTACTGCAAGTTACATAAAAAATAATCAAATTTTACTTTCTAGGTAAATTTTTACATTATTACCCACAGATCAGGCAAAATTTGCTGAATCAGCAATTTTCACTCCCAGGGGTGGAATTTAAGGGCTGTTTTTATTCTAGTTGCCCTTAATCAACTTTTTATTGATAAACTTACAAATTGTATAGGTGAAAAAAGGACCTCTGTTGATTTATTGTAAACATATATATTCCAGTTAAGGTGGCACGGTAGTATTTCCTGGCCCATAAGGGATAATGATAGCCTTTTTAAACTTTTCACCACTTCCTAGCACTGCCCAAAATTCTATGTACACAGTTTACTGAAGTACTTTCATTATAATTTTCAGAAATGAATTTAAATATGTATCATGACCGTTTACTTTTTTTGCTATCTTTAAAAACCTAAGGCCACTAGTGCTTTTATGTCTTTTATCATGCAGTGAATACAAAATTTAAAAAAATTCTCAAAAATTCATTTTCACCTGTATGTAAAATTATTTCATATTTTTCTACACCTGATTCATCCCTCAGTTTGGGAAAATATGTTCAGTTGATACTGTATTTTTTGTCCAATCACACTGTTCAAATACATTGACTTAGGTAGGGTACACAAAAGAGCAACCTAAATTCCGGAATGCAAATACTACCGTGCTACCTTAACCAAGACATCACAAACTTGAAACCAGTCATAACACCTATGATGCATAGACTTCTTACTAGGAAACATATTACAATAAAGAATACTAGTCTGCACTTATTCCTTACCCCAAAAAATTTAAAGATTATACCCCTACCCCAGCTGGCAGATTTTACCTTTTTTTTTCATCTTGCCATTTTTACTTAAGGAGTGAACAAAACCCAAATATATGATGTTTCAAATCAACACAGAAGTAAAACATGATGATTCAGGAGGAATTATTGGATTGCCAACTCTATTTATAGTTAATCTGACTGAAAGAAACAGTTTAAGCACCAAATCATGAAAAATGATAGTAAAGTCCATTCCACATTTTACAGCATGCCTTACATTCCTTTAAGCATTTCCAGATCATGAAGGCAATTTAACAAGATTCTTTAGATGGCAGTTAACTATTATTCTAAAGACTTTTTACAATACATGTACTAGAATATATCTCTAAGATGACTGTTTGTCTATTTCTCATGTATGCATTAAGTTAAATTATGTCCCCTTAAATAATCAATTTACCTTTATTGTGTATTTCAGGGTCAGAAAATCAAAACAATTCATCATATTTGCATGGAAAATGAATAAACTATTTAATCTTGCTGATATACAATCTTAATCACATTCTTTGTCCAAATAATTGTCTTGTCAATGTAAAGAAACCCCTAATACTATCTCTATTTCAGCTAAATATGAGGGCTAAATGAATAAGTAAGGACCCCTAAACCACTAACTGGTTCCAAAAAAGCTCACACTGGTGCCATGTTACCACAGAACTACAAATTGAACCTAAAGAAAACTAGTATAGCTGTACTTGTGTGGAAAAAAATAAAAAATTATGCACTTTACTTATTTCGGTGAAAATTATAGGACGTACAGACAACTAAATATGTCGCGTCTCAAATTCCAGTTGTTGCACATGTGTCAGACACTGCGAAAAGTTAAAGCAAATTAACATTTATTATCAAAAATGTACTGCAAGTTACATAAAAAATAATCAAATTTTACTTTCTAGGTAAATTTTTACATTATTACCCACAGATCAGGCAAAATTTGCTGAATCAGCAATTTTCACTCCCAGGGGTGGAATTTAAGGGCTGTTTTTATTCTAGTTGCCCTTAATCAACTTTTTATTGATAAACTTACAAATTGTATAGGTGAAAAAAGGACCTCTGTTGATTTATTGTAAACATATATATTCCAGTTAAGGTGGCACGGTAGTATTTCCTGGCCCATAAGGGATAATGATAGCCTTTTTAAACTTTTCACCACTTCCTAGCACTGCCCAAAATTCTATGTACACAGTTTACTGAAGTACTTTCATTATAATTTTCAGAAATGAATTTAAATATGTATCATGACCGTTTACTTTTTTTGCTATCTTTAAAAACCTAAGGCCACTAGTGCTTTTATGTCTTTTATCATGCAGTGAATACAAAATTTAAAAAAATTCTCAAAAATTCATTTTCACCTGTATGTAAAATTATTTCATATTTTTCTACACCTGATTCATCCCTCAGTTTGGGAAAATATGTTCAGTTGATACTGTATTTTTTGTCCAATCACACTGTTCAAATACATTGACTTAGGTAGGGTACACAAAAGAGCAACCTAAATTCCGGAATGCAAATACTACCGTGCTACCTTAACCAAGACATCACAAACTTGAAACCAGTCATAACACCTATGATGCATAGACTTCTTACTAGGAAACATATTACAATAAAGAATACTAGTCTGCACTTATTCCTTACCCCAAAAAATTTAAAGATTATACCCCTACCCCAGCTGGCAGATTTTACCTTTTTTTTTCATCTTGCCATTTTTACTTAAGGAGTGAACAAAACCCAAATATATGATGTTTCAAATCAACACAGAAGTAAAACATGATGATTCAGGAGGAATTATTGGATTGCCAACTCTATTTATAGTTAATCTGACTGAAAGAAACAGTTTAAGCACCAAATCATGAAAAATGATAGTAAAGTCCATTCCACATTTTACAGCATGCCTTACATTCCTTTAAGCATTTCCAGATCATGAAGGCAATTTAACAAGATTCTTTAGATGGCAGTTAACTATTATTCTAAAGACTTTTTACAATACATGTACTAGAATATATCTCTAAGATGACTGTTTGTCTATTTCTCATGTATGCATTAAGTTAAATTATGTCCCCTTAAATAATCAATTTACCTTTATTGTGTATTTCAGGGTCAGAAAATCAAAACAATTCATCATATTTGCATGGAAAATGAATAAACTATTTAATCTTGCTGATATACAATCTTAATCACATTCTTTGTCCAAATAATTGTCTTGTCAATGTAAAGAAACCCCTAATACTATCTCTATTTCAGCTAAATATGAGGGCTAAATGAATAAGTAAGGACCCCTAAACCACTAACTGGTTCCAAAAAAGCTCACACTGGTGCCATGTTACCACAGAACTACAAATTGAACCTAAAGAAAACTAGTATAGCTGTACTTGTGTGGAAAAAAATAAAAAATTATGCACTTTACTTATTTCGGTGAAAATTATAGGACGTACAGACAACTAAATATGTCGCGTCTCAAATTCCAGTTGTTGCACATGTGTCAGACACTGCGAAAAGTTAAAGCAAATTAACATTTATTATCAAAAATGTACTGCAAGTTACATAAAAAATAATCAAATTTTACTTTCTAGGTAAATTTTTACATTATTACCCACAGATCAGGCAAAATTTGCTGAATCAGCAATTTTCACTCCCAGGGGTGGAATTTAAGGGCTGTTTTTATTCTAGTTGCCCTTAATCAACTTTTTATTGATAAACTTACAAATTGTATAGGTGAAAAAAGGACCTCTGTTGATTT